TCTGGATTAGCCATGCCTGTGTTTATGGAGAGATTCCCAAATTCTGGATCATCCAAATCCCGGGAATTTAGGGGAAAACTCTGGAAATTCTGGATTAGCCATGCCTGTGTTTATGGAGAGATTCCCAAATTCTGGATCCTCCAAATCCTGGGAATTCAGGGAGAGATTCCCAAATTCTGGATCCAGCAAGTCCTGCTGGAATTCAGGGAGAGATTCCCAAATTCTGGATCCACCAAATCCTGGGAATTCAAGGAGATATTCCCAAATTCTGGATCCAGCAAGTCCTGCTGGAATTCAGGGAGAGATTCCCAAATTCTGGATCAGCCACATTTGGATTCAGGATCCATCCCTGATCCATCCCATCCAATTCCCGGGAATTCCGGAGTTTCTCAGGAATGCTGGAGCCTCCTCCAGGGCCCGTTCCCACATTTTTTTGGGATGAAGTTCCCACATTTTCCGGGATGAAAGGCGAGCCGGGCCCGCAGGTGGCTCCTGTCCCAGACAGCTCCACATTCCATGAAAATCCCACATTCCAGGCCTGAAACAACAGGATTATCCCGGGGGAAAGGGTTGGGATCAAATGGCGCAGGTGGCCCCGGGGAGGGGAAGTTTTGGGATTTTTTTTTTTGGGATTCCCAGACACCTGCAGGGCATGGAGCCAGAATTCCAGCCCCAAAATCCTGACTCAAAAATTCCAGCCCCATAATCCCTCGGCTGGAATTCCCAAAGAAATCCCGCACCTCCCTGGGATGTCCTGGTCCTTCGGGATGAGGTGGGAATTGGGATAAGGTGGAATTTGGGATGAGGATCCCATGGAAATCGGGACAAGGATGAGGTGGAGCTCGGGATGAGGATGGCACGGAAATAGGGATGAGGATTCCATGGAATTGGGATGAGGACGAGGCAAAAACTGGGATGAAGATTCCATGGAAATTGGGGTGAGGTGGGAATTGGGATGAGGAGTCCATGGAATTTGGGATGAGCTGAAAATTAAGATGAGTTGGAAATTGGGATAAAACAGAATTTGGGATGAGGTGGAATTTGGGATGAGGATCCCACAGAAATCGAGATGAGGACTCCATGGAATTTGGGATGACTCCAAAATCCGGATGAGGTGGGAAACAGGATAAGGCGGAATTTGGGATGAGGATTCCACAGAAATGGGGACAAGGATGAGGATGCCACGGAAATAGGAATGAGGATTCCATGGAATTTGGGATGAGGAAGGAATTGGGACAAGGATGAGGCAAAAACTGGGATAAGGATTTCACGGAAATTGGGATGAGGTGGGAATCGGGATGAGGATTCCATGGAATTTGGGATGAGAAGGGAATTGGGATGAGTTGAAAATTGAGACGAGTTGGAAATTGGGGTAAAACAGAATTTGGGACGAGGATCACACAGAAATCTGGATGAGGATTCCCTGGAATTTGGGATGAGGATGAGGCAAAAATGAGGATGAAGATTCCATGGAATCCCACAGAAATGGGATGAGGATTCCATAGAATTCAGGATGAGGATCCCATGGAATTCAGGATGAAGATTCCATGGAATTCAGGATGAGGATCCCATGGAATTCAGGATGAAGATTCCATGGAATTCAGGATGAGGATCCCATGGAATTCAGGATGAAGATTCCATGGAATTCAGGATGAGGATCCCATGGAATTCAGGATGAAGATTCCATGGAATTCAGGATGAGGATCCCATGGAATTCAGGATGAAGATTCCATGGAATTCAGGATGAGGATCCCATGGAATTGGGATGAGGATTCCATGGAATTGGAGCCCCAAGCCCCAAGCCCCAAATCCCAGCCCCTTTCCCAGGAAAAACCCCAAACTCCTGCAATTCCTGGAATTCCAACTTTCCCGGGATATCTGGAGGGGTTTGGTGACCCCGCTGGGAACTGGGATGGATTTCCCCGGGAATATTTTCATTTAGGATTAAGGAAAACCCCCGAGGACTCGGAATTCCGCCCATTTCCCAGGAATCTCTTTCGGGATCCTCCAGCGGCATTTCCCCTTTAAAACAACCCTGGGAAAAGTGGGGAAAGCAAAACAAATCCCAAAGATCCTTCGGGGTCACGAGGCTCGGGCTAAAATCCAACGGGATTTTCCGCCCGGATGGGTTTTGCCGGTATTTGGTGTCACGTGGGGATTTGTCCGCATTCCCGAGGTTTTTCCCCGAGCTCCGGGATTTGTGGGATGGAGGATGGGCTTGGGGCTGCTCCTGCCCTCCCGGCACCCCAAAATCTTTTCCGTCCCTTTCCCGTGTTTTCTGTGGGATCCCTGGGGATGATCCCGAGGTTTGGTGTCCCTGAATTCCCAAGAAATCCCAAGAATATGGTGGGATTTGGGGTTTGGGAAAAGGATCGGGCTTGGCTTTGTGCATCCTGATCCTTGTGGGGTCATCCCAATCCCTGTGGGATCATTCTAATCCTTATGGGATCATCCCGATCCTTGTGGGATCATTCCAATCCTTGTGGGCTCATCCTGATCCCTATGGGATTATCCCAACCCATGTAGGATCATTCCAATCCTTGCGGGATCATCCCAATCCTTATGGGATCATCCCAATCCTTGTAGGATCATCCCAGTCCTTGCGGGATCATCCCAATCCCTATGGGATTATCCCAACCCATGTAGGATCATTCCAATCCTTGCGGGATTTCCATGGAATCCCACAGAAATGGGATGAGGATTCCATAGAATTCAGGATGAGGATCCCATGGAATTGGGATGAGGATTCCATGGAATTGGAGCCCCAAGCCCCAAGCCCCAAATCCCAGCCCCTTTCCCAGGAAAAACCCCAAACTCCTGCAATTCCTGGAATTCCAACTTTCCCGGGATATCTGGAGGGGTTTGGTGACCCCGCTGGGAACTGGGATGGATTTCCCCGGGAATATTTTCATTTAGGATTAAGGAAAACCCCCGAGGACTCGGAATTCCGCCCATTTCCCAGGAATCTCTTTCGGGATCCTCCAGCGGCATTTCCCCTTTAAAACAACCCTGGGAAAAGTGGGGAAAGCAAAACAAATCCCAAAGATCCTTCGGGGTCACGAGGCTCGGGCTAAAATCCAACGGGATTTTCCGCCCGGATGGGTTTTGCCGGTATTTGGTGTCACGTGGGGATTTGTCCGCATTCCCGAGGTTTTTCCCCGAGCTCCGGGATTTGTGGGATGGAGGATGGGCTTGGGGCTGCTCCTGCCCTCCCGGCACCCCAAAATCTTTTCCGTCCCTTTCCCGTGTTTTCTGTGGGATCCCTGGGGATGATCCCGAGGTTTGGTGTCCCTGAATTCCCAAGAAATCCCAAGAATATGGTGGGATTTGGGGTTTGGGAAAAGGATCGGGCTTGGCTTTGTGCATCCTGATCCTTGTGGGGTCATCCCAATCCCTATGGGATCATTCTAATCCTTGTGGGATCATCCCAATCCTTGTAGGAATATCCCAATCCCTATGGGGTCATCCCGATCCTTGTGGGCTCATCCCAATCCCTATGCATGGAATTCAGGATGAAGATTCCATGGAATTCAGGAATGGGATCATCCCAATCCTTGTGGGATCATTGCAATCCCTGCAGGATCATCCCAATCCTTGTAGGATCATCCCGATCCTTGTGGGCTCATCCTGATCCCTATGGGATTATCCTGACCCGTGTGGGATCATCCCAACCCTTGTAGGATCATCCCAATCCCTATGGGATCATCCCAATCCTTGTGGGATCATTGCAATCCCTGCAGGATCATCCCAATCCTTGTAGGATCATCCCAGTCCTTGTGGGATCATCCCAATCTCTGCATTCCCCCTTCCATCCCGGAGATATTTTCCCCCAAATTCCCTTCCCAGATGTGCCAGGACAGGAAAAATCCCAAAAAAAACCTGTAGGGTTTGGGGAATTTGGGGAAAGGATCCCTGAATTCCCAAGAAATCCTAAGAAAACCGTGGGATTTGGGGATCTGAGGACAGGGTTGGGCTCAGCTTTCCCTGGATTTCATCCCACCAACAATGAGGGATGTCCCCATCCCAAACCCTGTGGGATCATCCCAGTCCCTGTGGGATCACCCCAAACCCTGTGGGATCATCCCAGCCTCTGTGGGATCACCCCAAACCCTGTGGGATCATCCCAATCCCTGTGGGATCACCCCAAACCCTGCCCTCCCCCTCCATCCCGAGGAGGTTTGGCCCTAAATTCCCAGAAAACCCCAATAAATTTGTGGGATTTAGGGGAAAGGATCGGGCTCAGCTTTGCCCACCCCAATCCCTGTGGGATCCTCCCAATCCCTGTGGGATCACCCCAATCCTTGTGGGATCACCCCAATGCCTGTGGGATCACCCCAATCCCGGTGGGATCACCCCAATCCCTGTGGGATCACCCCAATCCCTATGGGATCACCCCAATCCATGTGGAATCACCCCAATCCATGTGGGATCACCCCAATCCATGTGGGATCGCCCCAATCCCTGTGGAATCACCCCAGTCCCTGTGGGATCACCCCAATCCATGTGGGATCACCCCGATCCCGGTGGGATCGCCCCAATCCCTGTGGGATCGCCCCAATCCCTGTGGGATCACCCCAATCCCTGTGGGATCACCCCAATCCCTGTGGGATCGCCCCAATCCTTGCGGGATCACCCCAATCCTTGCGGGATCACCCCGATCCCTGTGGGATCACCCCAATCCCTGTGGGATCACCCCAATCCCTGTGGGATCACCCCAATCCCTGCCTTCCCCCTCCATCCCAGGAGGGTTTAGCCCCAAATCCCCCAAAAACCCCAAGAACTTTGCGGGATTCGGGGCAGGGACCGCGCTCCGCTCCCGCCGCTGCTCATCCCGGAGCTCCCATCCCATTCCCGACCCTCGCCGTCCATCCCAGCAAATCCCAAATCCCGGGAAAAGCCGGGAGCCGCCCCCCGCCCGAGCCCGGCCCCGAGCCCCGCTGGGCCGGGTTTAAATCCCCAAAGCCCCGCGCGCGGCCCCCGGCCAAGGCTCCATGGAGGCCATAAAGATCCCAAAGTTTTCCCGAAATCCCAAAGCTCGCGGAGCCTCCCGCGCTGCCCGGCCGGGCCGGGCCGGCCTTTAGACCGAGCTTAGCCAAGCCCGGCTCGCCGCGGGAGCCGCGGGCGCGGCCGGAAGGAGGGCAGGAGGAAAGGAGGAGAAGGTAAACCTGGATTTGGGGTTTTTCCCTCTTTTCCCCCCCCTTTCTGTGGGGTTGGGGTTGTTTCGTCCTCCCGGCTCGGCTGAGGATTCCAGGGTGGGAATTCGGGATCGAATCCTGCCCTGGGGGGTGCGGGAATTCCCAAAAATCCCCCAAAAATCCCCAAAATCCCAAATTCCACCCCCCCCAGCAGGGATTTAACCCCAGAAGACCCAAATGCTGCCCTAGGAGTGTGGGAATTCCCAAAAATCCCAAATTCCACCCCCCCAGCAGGGATTTAACCCCCAGAAGTCCCAAATCCTGCCCGGGGTGTGTGGGAATTCCCAAAAATCCCCCAAAAATCCCAAATTCCACCCCCCAGCAGGGATTTAACCCCCAGAGGACCCAAATCCTGCCCGGGGTGTGTGGGAATTCCCAAAAATCCCTCAAAAATCCCAAATTCCACCCCCAGCATGGGTTTAACCCCCAGGAGGGATTTAACCCCCAGAGTTCCCAAATCCTGCCCGGGGAGTGTTGGAATTCCCAAAAATACCAAAAAAATCCCAAATTCCACCCCTCAGCAGGGGTTTAACCCCCGGGTTCCCTTTCCTTGGGGGCTGCGTCATTCCAGGATCAGAGAAATCCCAAAAAAAAAATCCCAAATTCCGCCCCCAGCAGGGGTTTCATTCCCGGTTTCATTTTTCTTGGGAGATACAGAATCCCAGGATCAGGAAAATCCCAAAACTCCCAAATTCTGCCCCCCAGCAGCGCTTTCATCCCGGTTTTCTCTTCCCTGGAGGTTCTGGCATTCCAGGGTCAGGGAAATCCCCCAAAAAAATCCCAAATTCTGTCCCCCAGCAGGAATTTCACCCCCAGTTTCCCTTTCCCTGGGGGCTGCAGAAATCCCAGGATCAGGATTTGGGATTCTGGGAAGGGGGGAACTGGGGGAATTTTGGGGGAATTTTGGGGTGGGATCAAGGAGAACCAGGAATGGGGTTGGGAATGGGAATAAGGTTGGGAATAGGATTGGGAATGGGATTGGGAAGAGCTGGAGCAGCTTTCTGGGATTCCCGGGGTTCTGGGAATGGGGGAACTGCAGGGATTTTGGGGGGAGTTTTTGGGGTGGGATCAAGGAGAACGAAAATGGGGTTGGGATTGGGAATGGGGTCGGGAATGGGGGTGGGAATGGGGTCGGGAATGGGGTTAGGAAGAGCTGGAGCAGCTTTCTGGGATTTTGGGAATGGGGGAATTTCAGGGATTTTGGGGGAATTTTGGGGTGGGATCAAGGAGAACCAGGAATGGGGTTGGGAATGGGAATAAGGTGAAATCCCAGGATCAGGATTTGGGATTCTGGGAATGGGGGAACTGGGGGAATTTTGGGGGAATTTTGGGATGGGAACAAGGAGAACCAGGAATGGGATTGGGAATGGAATTGGGATCGGGAATGGGGTTGGGAATAGGATCGGGAATGGGGTTGGGAATGGAGTTGGGAATAGGAATGGGAAGAGCTGGAGCAGCTCCCGGGATTCTGGGAAGAGCTGGAGCAGCTTTCTGGGATTTTGGGAATGGGGGAATTTCAGGGATTTTGGGGGAATTTTGGGGTGGGATCAAGGAGAACGAGAATGGGGTTGGGAATGGGGGTGGGAATAAGGACGGAAATGGGGTCGGGAATGGGATTGGGAAAAGCTGGAGCAGCTCCCGGGGTTCTGGGAATGGGGGAACTGCAGGGATTTTGGGGTGGGATCAAGGAGAACCAGGAATGGGGTTGGGAATAGGGTTGGGAATAGGATTGGGAAGAGCTGGAGCAGCTTTCTGGGATTCCCGGAGTTCTGGGAATGGGGGAACGGGGCAATTTTGGGGTGGGATCAAGGAGAACCAGGAATAGGATTGGGAATGGATTCAGAATGGGACTGGGAAGAGCTGGAGGAGATCCCAGGGTTCTGGGAATGGGGGAACTGCAGGGATTTTGGGGGGAGTTTTTGGGGTGGGATCAAGGAGAACGAAAATGGGGTTGGGATTGGGAATGGGGTCGGGAATGGGGGTGGGAATGGGGTCGGGAATGGGGTTAGGAAGAGCTGGAGCAGCTTTCTGGGATTTTGGGAATGGGGGAATTTCAGGGATTTTGGGGGAATTTTGGGGTGGGATCAAGGAGAACGAGAATGGGGTTGGGAATGGGGGTGGGAATAAGGACGGAAATGGGGTCGGGAATGGGATTGGGAAAAGCTGGAGCAGCTCCCGGGGTTCTGGGAATGGGGGCACTGCAGGGATTTTGGGGTGGGATCAAGGAGAACCAGGAATGGGGTTGGGAATAGGGTTGGGAATAGGATTGGGAAGAGCTGGAGCAGATTTCTGGGATTCCCGGAGTTCTGGGAATGGGGGAACGGGGCAATTTTGGGGTGGGATCAAGGAGAACCAGGCACAGGATTGGGAATGGGGTCCGGAATGGGATTGGGAAGAGCTGGAGGAGATCCCAACTCTCCCGGGATTTTGGGAATGGGGGAACCGTGGGGATTTTGGGGTGGGCTCAGGAATGGGGTTGGGAAAAAGCTCCTCAATCCCTTGGGATTGTCCCGGAATCCCTTGGGAATCTCTGGGATGTTTGCGGGGTTTGGAGAGCTCCGGGGCTGCTTTTCCAGAGGCTTTTCCCAAAAAAATCCTGGGAGAGGCTTTGGGCGTTCAGGAGCTTCGTCCCTTCGTTCCCACAGCTTTTTTGGGATCGTTTTGGGGCCGGATCACCAAGTTTGGGGTCTCTTGGGGGAGTGCTGGAGTGGGATCCACTCCTAAATCCATGTTTAGGATTTGCAGGGATCGGGATTGGGAATTAAGGGCAATCCTGATGATCCCAACCCCTCAGCCCAAGAATTCCCTGGAAAACCCTGGAATGAAATTCGGATCATTTGGACTAAAAACAGGGTTGGGATTTGGGAATTCCCTCCTGGATCCCTATTTCCTTCCCAGCTTTATTCCAGGACCTGGGAATTCCCTCCTGGATCCGTTTTCCATTCCCCCTTTTATTCTGGGAATTCCCTCCTGGATCCCATTCCCGGTTTTATTTTGGGATCTGGGAATTCCCTCCAGATCCTCGCTCCATTCTTACTTTCATTTGGGAATTCTCTGCTGGATCCCTTTTCCCTTCCCAGTTTTATTCTGGATCCTCTTTTCCCCTTCTGGTTTAATTCCAGGACTTGGGAATTCCCTCCTGGATCTCTTTCCCATTCCCGGTTTTATTCTGGGAATTCCCTCCTGGATCCCATTCCCGGTTTTATTTTGGGAATTCCCTCTTGGATCCCATTCCCGGTTTTATTCTGGGAATTCCCTCCTGGATCCCATTCCCGGTTTTATTCTGGGAATTCTCTCCTGGATCCCATTCCCGGTTTTATCCCGGATCCCGGAATTCCCGGGAGCAGGGGGTGGGGGAGGGGCGGCAGTTTCCCGGAGCGCTCCAAGGCCGCGGGAGGAGCGGCGGGATCGGATTCCAAGGAAAACGCGGGAGCTGGGAAGGGCCGGGCCGGGAATGCGGATCCCGCTGGGATTGGGCGTTCCCGCCTCGCTTTTTTGGGATTTCGGGAGTCAGGAAGGAGCTGAGGGATCCAATTCCATGGGGGGACAATTCCTGGGCGCTCCAGAGGTGGAAAATCGGGAAGGAGCCGGGAATGAGCGTTCCCAGATAATGGGGAATGGACTGTTCACTGAAAATCGGGAATGAGCCTTCCTGGAAAATCGGGAATGAGCCTTCCCTGTCCTGGAAATCGGGAATGGACTGTTCCCTGAGTCCTGGGAGGCTGAAAAATCGGGAACTCCCAAACCCCATTCCCAAAATCCCAAATCCCAAACTCCATTCCCAAAATCCCAAATCCCAAAGCCCATTCCCAAATTCCCAATCTCAAATCCCAAACTCCATTCCCAAAATCCCAAATCCCAAAGCCCATTCGCAAAATCCCAAACCCAAACTCCATTCCCAAATCCCAAACCCCACTCCCAAATTCCCAAATTCCCAATCCCAAATCCCAAACCCCACTCCCAAAATCTCGAATCCCAAAGCCCATTCCCAAAATCCCAAATCCCAAAGCCCATTCCCAAATTCCCAATCTCAAATCCCAAACTCCATTCCCAAAATCCCAAATCCCAAAGCCCATTCCCAAAATCCCAAATCCCAAACCCCGTTCCCAAATTCCCAAATTCCCAATCCCAAATCCCAAACCCCACTCCCAAAATGTCGAATCCCAAAGCCCATTCCCAAAATCCCAAACCCAAACTCCTTCCCAAATCCCAAACCCCATTCCCAAATTCCCAAATCCCAGACCCCATTCCCAAAATCCCAAACCCCATTCCCAAATCCCAAACCCCATTCCCAAATCCCAAACCCCATTCCCAAACCCAAATGCCATTCCCAATTCCCATACTCCATTCCCAAAATCCCAAAGCCCATTCCCAGCTCCCAAACCCGGGCTGGATTTTGGGTGGGATTTGAGATCAGTGGGATCCCAAACTGGGATTTGGGATGGGTTTTGGGATGGAATTTGAGATGGGGGTTTGGGATGGGATTTGGGGTTTGGGATGGGATCTGGGATTGGGTTTTGGGATTTGGGATCACCCTGACAAGGACCGCAGAGGGAGCGGGCTCTGATTCCCGGTGGATTTTTGGGAATGGAGGCACAAATCCCACATTTTCCATGGGGGCATGGGGGGAATCCCAGGAAAAGCTGCCGGGGCCGCCGTGCCAGGGGTGCCAGGGGGGACAGTCGGTGACAGTCGGTGACAGTCGGTGACAGTCGGTGCCAGTGCCACTGCTGGGGGCAGCTGCGGGGGTCTCTTGGATCTGTAACGATCCCAATCCCAATCCCAGCCCCAGTCCTGATCCCGATCCCAATCCCGAGGGAATTCCAGCGCTGGAGCAGAGCCAGCCCTGGGGACACTGGGGACGTCCTTGACCTGTCCGCGGGGTGTCCCCAAGCCCCGGGGTGTCCCCAGGGGTGACCATGGAGCTGCTCCTGCTGTCCCTGGGGACACTCGGAGCCATCCCAGACCTGCTCCGGGGTGTCCCCAAGCCCCGGGGTGTCCCTGAGGCCGCTCGCCCTCGGGGACATCGGGGACATCCCGAGCCGTGCCCTCAAACCTGGGATGTCCCCGGGGCTGCTCCCGCTGTCCCCTCCCGGCCCTGGGGACACTGCGACATTCCCGGGATGTCCCCAAACCCCTCAGGTGGCATTCAGGGACGCTGGGCTTGTCCCGGCCCCAGAGTGCTCCCGGAATTCCCGGGATGCCGCTGGGGACAGTTTGGGGACAGCGCCGCTGCCCCTCCCCCCCCCTGCCCCGCGACCTTCGCGCCGCTTTTCCAGCGCCGAGAATTCCCAGGAAAACCCAAACAAAGGCGGGATCGGCCCTGGGAGCGGCCCCGCCCCCGCTCCGGGAATCCCGCTGGGAACTGGGACCAGAGCCGCTTCTCCCGGTGTTTTCCCCACTTTTCCCGGCGATTTTCCCCATCCCTTTCCCACTTTTCCAGCCCTCATCCCACTTTTCCTGGCGTTTTTCCTCCTTTTCCCAGCTTCTTTCCCACCTTTCCAGCCCCCATCCCTCTTTTCCCGGTATTTTTCCCTCTTTTCCCTGTATTTTTCCCTCTTTTCCTAGCATTTTCCCCATTTTTCCCGGAGTTTTTCCCACTTTCCCCGTCCCCTCCCACTTTTCCAGCCCCCATCCCTCTTTTCCCGGCACTTTTCCTGGCATTTTTTCCACTTTCCCCCACATTTTTCCCCCACTTTCCACCGTGTTTTCCCCACTTTTCCAGCCCACATCCCTCTTTTCCTGGAGTCTTTCCTGCTTTCCCCAGCCTTTTTCCCACTTTTCCCATCATTTCCCCCACATTTCCCAGTTTTTTCCCATTTTCCAGCCCCCTCCCACTTTTCCAATCCCCATCCCACTTCTCCCTGCATTTTTTCCCACTTTTCCCAGTGTTTTTCCCATTTTCTCATCATTTTCCCACAATTTTTCCCACTTTCCCATCATTTTTCCCTCTTTGCCATAATTTTTCCCACTTTTCCCAGTGTTTTTCCCACTTTCTCATTGTTTTTCCCACAATTTTTCCCACTTTCCCATCATTTTTCCCACTTTCCTGGGATTTTTCCCGCTTTTCCAGCCGCGGGGGAGGGGCGGCCATGGCCCCCAACGGCTCCGCGGGATTTCGGGATTCCCCCCTGGAGCCGGGAATTTTCCTGGATGAGGATTTGGGATCCGACTGGTACATCTACGAATCCACGGAGCCCGCGCCCCACGATGAGTGAGTGGCCCTAAAATGTCCCCACAATGGCCCCAAAAGTGGCCCCAAAATGTCCCAAAACATCCCAAAATGTGCCGCCAAAATGGCCCCAAAATGTCCGAAAAAGTGGCCCAAAAGTGGCCCCAAAATGTGCCATCAAAATGTCCTCAAAAGGTCCCCAAAATGTCCCTAAAATGTCCCCAAAAGGTCCCCAAAAGTGGTCCCAAAATGTCCCTAAAAATGTCCCCAAAAGGTACCCAAAAGCTCCCCAAAGTGGCCCCAAAATGCCCTAAAATGTCCCCAAAAGTGGCCCTAATATGTCCCCAAAATGTCCTAATAGGGGCCCAAAATTGTCCCCAAAATTGTCCCCAAAAGGTCCTCAAACGTGTCCTGAAAATGTCCCCAAAACGTCCCCAAAATGTTCCCCAAATGTCCCCAAAAGTGTCACCACAAAATCCCCAAAACCGTCCCCAAAAGTGCCCCCAAAATATTCCCAAAAGTGGCCCCAAAATGTCCTCAAGTGTCCCTTCCCAGAGTTTTGGACCCTCTAAAAATCCTGGAATTTTTTGGTCATTCCCAGATTTATTCCTGGCTTTTTAGCCCTGGAATTTTTGGGGCCAGCCCTGTCATTCCCAGATTTATTCCCATCAAACCCTGGGGTTTTCCCCATTTCCCATCATTTTTCCTGGCCCTTTTAGGGTCAGACCCACCAAACTCTGGGATTTTTTCCCATTTTTCCAGCCTTCTTCCGGACGCCATCCCGGAATGCCACCCCACGATCTCCCCCCAGCTGTACCACACCGTCATGGCTCCCGTTTCCGTGAGTATCCGCCCCAAAATTCCTGGAAAAAACCCCCAATCCCACATCCCCGTATTCCATTCCCTTTCATCTTGGATGGCTTTTCCCGCCTAAACCACCCCAGAATTCCCGGATTCCCAGGATTTCGCTTGGGATACAAACTCCAAAATTCCTCCCAAATCATTCCCGGCTCTATTCCATGGATTCATGGGGTCTCCGTGGGGTTCCCATCAGTCCCATCATTCCCAGGACCCCTTTTCCATGGATTTACGGGACTTCCATGAATATTCCATCATTCCCAGATCTCTTTTCCATGGGTTTATGGGGTTTCCATGGGGTTCACATCATTCCCATCATTCCCACCATTCCCAGGTCTCTTTTCTATGGATTGGGTTCACCTCCATGGGGTTCCCATCATTCCCACCATTCCCAGGTCTCTTTTCCATGGATTTATGGGGTCTCCGTGGGGTTCCACCACTCCCAGAACCCCTTTTCTATGGATTTAAAGAGTTTCCATGGGATCCCCACCATTCCCAGAACCCTTTCCCAAGGATTTATGGGACCTCCATGAGGATTCCCATCATTCCCAGGTCTCTTTTCCATGGGTTTATGGGACCTCCCTGAGGATCCCATCATTCCCGCCATTCCCAGAACCCTTTTCCATGGATTTATGGGACCTTCATGAGGATCCCATCACTCCCATCATTCCCACCATTCCCAGAACCCTTTCCCATGGATTTATGGGGTCTCCCGGGGGTTCCCAGCACTCCAGGACCCTTTTCCATGGATTTCCATCCCGTTCCAGCTGGCCGTGATCCTGGCCTTGTCCTTCCTGGTCAAGCGCCGCCGGCTCCACCTGAGCTGCTGGAACGGCGTCCCGGGATTGCTCAGGTATGGAATTCCCGAAATTCCACTGATCCCTCCCTGGGAAGGGCTCAGAATTCCCAAAATCCCATCCTTGGAGAGGACTCGGAATTCCCAAATCCCCTCTCCAGGAAGGGCTCTGAATTCCCAAAATCCTGCTAATCCCTCTCTGCTCAAAATTCCCAAACCCCACTGGTGCATCCATGGAAAGAGCTCTTGGGAAGGGCTCAGAATTCCCAAAATCTCCTCCTTGTAAAGGACTCAGAATTCCCAAATCCCCACCCTGGAAAGTCCTCGGAAATCTGAAAATCCCATCCTTGGGGAGGACCTGGAATTCCCAAAATCTCCTTCCTGGAAATGACTTGGAATTCCCAAATCCCATCCTTTTAAAGGGTTCAGAATTCCCCAAATCACCTCCATGGAAAGGGCTCGGAATTCCCAAACCCTGCTGATCCCATCCCTGGGAAGGAGTGGGCATTCCTGACATCCCTGGGAAGGAGTGGGAATTCCCAACATCCCTGGGAAGGAGTGGGAATTCCCAAAATTGCCTCCCTGGGAAGGAGCAGGAATTCCCGACATCCCAAAGTCCCTGGGAAGGAGCGGGAATTCCCAAGCTCCCAGGGACGGAGTGGGAAATCCCAAAATCCCTGGGAAGGAGCGGGAAATCCCAAAATCCCAAAGTCCCTGGGAAGGAGTGGGAATTCCTGACATGCCTGGGAAGGAGTGGGAAATCCCAAAATCCCAAAATCCCTGGGAAGGAGCGGGCATTCCCAAAACCCCTGGGAAGGAGCGGGAAATTCCAAAATCCCAAAATCCCTGGGAAGGAGCGGGAAATCCCAAAACCCAAGGGAAGGAGCGGGAAATCCCAAAATCCCAAGGTCCCAGGGAAGGAGCGGGAAATCCCAAACTCCCTGGGAAGGAGCGGGAAATCCCAAAATCCCTGGGAAGGAGCGGGAAATCCCAAAATCCCAAAGTCCCTGGGAAGGAGCGGGCATTCCCGAGCTCCCTGGGAAGGAGCGGGCATTCCCGACATGGCTGGGCAGGGGCAGGAATTCCCAAAATCCCAAGGTCCCAGGGAAGGAGCGGGCATTCCCAAACTCCCTGGGAAGGAGCGGGCATTCCCAAACTCCCAGGGAAGGAGCGGGCATTCCCAAACTCCCTGGGCAGGCGCGGGCATTCCCGAGCTCCCGGCACGGGGGGTCATTCCCGCGGGGCCGTTGCAGCCCCGGGAACCTGCTGGAGCAGGACGGGCACCGCGCGGTGGCCGCGGCCGTGCTGGCGCTGCTCTGCTCCGAGCTCTGCCGCCTGCTGCTGCTGGAGCCGCTGCCGGGGACACGCGCGGGGACACGCGCGGCACCCGCCGCCCGCGGTGAGACACCGGTCACAGCCCGGGAGGGGCTCGGCATTCCCAAATCCCACCCGGGAAGGGCTCGGCATTCCCAAATCCCACCCGGGAAGGGCTCGGCATTCCCAAATCCCACCCGGGAAGGGCTCGGCATTCCCAAATCCCCCCTGGGAAGGGCTCGGCATTCCCAAATCCCACCCGGGAAGGGCTTGGGGCTCCCAAATCACATCCCTGGGAAGGGCTCGGGGCTCCCAAATCACATCTGGGAGGGGCTCGGAATTCCCAAATCCCACCTGGGAAGGGTTCAAGGCTCCCAAATCACATCCCTGGGAAGGGCTCGGGGCTCCCAGATCCCATCTGGGAAGGGCTCGGAATTCCCAAAATCCCCACTCTCAGAAGGGCCCAGAATTCCCAAATCCCCACCTGGGAAGGGCTCGGGGTTCCCACATCACATTCCTGGGAAGGGCTCAGAGTTCCCAAATCCCCACCCTGGGAAGGGCCCAGAATTCCCAAATCCCCACCTGGGAAGGGCCCAGGGTTCCCAAATCCCCCGGGGACACGCGCGGCACCCGCCGCCCGCGGTGAGACACCGGTCACAGCCCGGGAGGGGCTCGGCATTCCCAAATCCCACCCGGGAAGGGCTCGGCATTCCCAAATCCCACCCGGGAAGGGCTCGGCATTCCCAAATCCCACCCGGGAAGGGCTCGGCATTCCCAAATCCCACCCGGGAAGGGCTTGGGGCTCCCAAATCACATCCCTGGGAAGGGCTCGGGGCTCCCAAATCACATCTGGGAGGGGCTCGGAATTCCCAAATCCCACCTGGGAAGGGTTCAAGGCTCCCAAATCACATCCCTGGGAAGGGCTCGGGGCTCCCAGATCCCATCCATGGAAAGGGCTCGGAATTCCCAAAATCCTCACTCTCAGAAGGGCCCAGAATTCCCAAATCTCCACTCTCAGAAGGGCCCAGAATTCCCAAATCCTCACCTGGGAAGGGCTCAGAGTTCCCAAATCCCATCCATGGAAAGGGCTCAGAAATCCCAAATTCCCCTCCCTGGGAAGGGCTCGGAGTTCCCAAATCCCACCTGGGAAGGGCTCGGAGCTCCCAGATCCCATCTGGGAAGGGCTCGGAATTCCCAAAATCCCCACTCTCAGAAGGGCCCAGAATTCCCAAATCCCCACCTGGGAAGGGCTTGGAATTCCCAAAATCCCAGCCTGGGAAGGACTCAGAATTCCCAAATCCCATCCATGGGAAGGGCTCAGAGTTCCCAAATCCCCACTCTCGGAAGGGCCCAGAAGTCCCAAATCCCCACCTGGGAAGGGCTTGATCACCACCTAGAAAACGTTCAGAATTCCCAAAACCCCCTCCATGGAAATGGCTCAGAATTTCCAAATCCCATCCCTGGGTAGGGCTCAGAATTCCCAAATCCCATCCCTGGGAAGGACTTGAAACACCCAAAATCCCATCCCTGGGTAGGGCTAAGAATTCCCAAAATCCCATCCCTGGGTAGGGCTCAGAATTCCCAAAATCCCCACCCCACAAAAGGCTCGGAATTCCCAAATCCCATCCCTGGGAAGGGCTCAGAATTCCCAAAATCCCCACCCCACAAAAGGCTCGGAATTCCCAAATCCCATCCATGGGAAGGGCTCAGAATTCCCAAAATCCTCACTCCTGAAAGGGTTCAGAATCCCCAATCCCATCCCTGGGAAGGGCTGGCTGGGCTGGTGGCAGTGACCCTGTGTCCCCGGGGTGGTGGCAGTGTCCCAGGGCAGTGTCCCAGGGCAGTGTCCCCAGGGCAGTGTCCCAGGGCAGCGTCCCAGGGTGGTGGCAGTGTCCCAGGGTGGTGTCCCAGGGCGGTGGCAGTGTCCCAGGGTGGTGGCAGTGTCCCAGGGCAGTGTCCGTGTCCCGGAGGGGACTGGACTGTCACCCCCCCGGTGACCCGGTGTCCCGCTGCGGTGGCGCTGTGCCGAGCAGAGTTCTGGAAGGTTCTGGCGCTGCTCTACGTCCCCGCGCTGTACTCGCCCCTGCTGGCCTGCGCCGGCCCCCGCCACCGCCTGGGCTACGCCGCGGGGACCCTGCTGGCCTGGGGACACTGCGGGGCGCACGCCTGGCACCGCGCCCAGTGTCCCCTGGCGCCCAAGGTGGGTGGCACCGACGTGGCACGGCCTGCTGCGCTGGCACTGAGGGGTGGGGCTCCCTTGTCACCTCCTGGAGTGGCCCTGGGGTGGCCCTGGGGTGGCCCTGAGGTGGCACAGCTTGCACAGCTCCTTTGTCACCTCCAGGGGTGTCCCTGAAGGGTTGTGGCTTCCTTGTCACCTCCTGGGGTGGCCCTGAGGTGTCACAGCTTCCTGGGGTGGCACTGAGGGGGTGGGGCTCCCTTGTCACCTCCTGGGGTGGCCCTGAGGTGTCACAGCTTCCTGGGGTGGCACTGAGGGGGTGGCTGAGGTGGCCGTGAGGTGGCACGGCTTGCTGGGGTGGCACTGAGGGGGTGGGGGTCCCTTGTCACCTCCTGGGGTGGCCCTGAGGTGGCACAGCTTTCTGGGGTGGCACTGAGGGGTCATGGCTCCCTTGTCACCTCCTGGGGTGGCCCCAAGGAGCTGTGGCTCCCTTGTCACCCCCTTGAGTAACTCTGAGGTGTCACAGCTTGCTGCGGTGGCACTGAGGAGTTGTGGCTCCCTTGTCACCTCCTGGGGTGGCCCCGAGGCCAGGAAAAGGACAGCAGAGGTGGCCCAAAGTGGAGGTGGCTTCCTGGGGTGGCCCTGAGGTGTTGTCACCTCCCAGAGTGGCCCTGAGGGTTCCCTGGCCAGCTCCCAGTGTGTCCCTGCAGTGCCCCTCGCTGGGCTGCTGGCAGTGACCCTGTGTGCCCAGGGTGGTGGCAGTGACCCTGTGTCCCTGAGGGTGGTGTCCCCAGGATGGTAGCGGTGACGTGGTGTCCCCAGTGGGGTGGCAGTGGCCCCAGGGCAGTGGTGGTGTCCCCAGGGTGGTGGCGGTGACCCCAGGGTGCTGGCGGTGTCCCCAGGATGGTGGCGGTGTCCCCTGGGCAGTGGCAGTGTCCCCGTGTTCCCAGAGGCAGTGACCCCGTGTCCCCAGGGTGGTGGCAGTGTCCCCGTGTTGGGATTGGGACTGGGATCGGGGTTGAGATCAGGATCAGGACTGGGATGAGGATTGGGATCAGAATTGGGATTGCACAGCCTCCGCAACAGGGACATTCCTGAGCCGTGGGTACAGACATGGGAATTTGGGAATTCGGGAACTCGAGAACTCTGGATTTGGATTGGGATCAGGATCAGGATTGGGATGAGGATTGGGATCAGAATTGGGATTGCGCAGCCTCCGCAACAGGGACATCCCTGAGCCGTGGGAATTTGGGAATTCGGGAACTCGAGAACTCTGGATTTGGATTGGGATCAGGTTCAGGATTGGGATTGGGTTGGGATTGGTACCTGGTGCTGCTCCTGTGCAGCCTCCAGAACAGGGACAGCCCTGAGCTGGGAGTATGGACATGGGAAATTGGGAGTTTGGGAATTTGGGACCTCAGGATTGGCCCACGGGAGTGGGATTGGAATTGGGATCAGGATTGGGATCAGGATCAGGATTGAGAGCCTGATTGGGATCAGGATTGGGATTAGGACCAGGACTGGGATTGGGATCTCTGTGCATTCCCCTCCCAGCTCTGCTGCTGGGGGTTCTCTGTTACTATCCCGGGACTTGGTTTGGGATTGGGATCGGGATTGGGATCTCCATGCGTTCCCCTCCTGGCATTGCCGCTGGGGCTCTCCGTTGCTATCCCGGGACTGGGTTTGGGATTGGGATCAGGATCTCCGCGTGTTCCCCTCCCCCTGCTGTGGGTTCTCCGTTGCTGTCCCTGCACCGGCAGCGGGGTCGGGAAATTCCTCCGGGATAAATCCCTTACACAAGAGGCTCCGGCATCAATGGCTCCGTTCAGGCCGGCTCCGGGCTCTCCTCGTTTTCCCGGATAATCCCCGGAGCTCGGGGCTTTGTTGGGCAGGGAGGAGGGAAAAGCGGGAAAGGCCTGAGGTGACCCTGGCAGGGGGGAATGAGGGATCCCAGAGGGGTTTGGGAACAAAATCCCACTTTATTCCCACTTTTCCATACCAACACCGCACATTCCGTACGCTGGCTCGGGGTTGGGAATTCCCATCGGGATATGCCCGGGATGAGGGGGTGGCCAAGACAGCTCTGCCACCCTAAATCCACCCGTTATTCCCAGATTTCCGGGAAAAGCTATTGCAGGAAGTACCTCAAGGCCGTGCTGTCCAAGCGGGGCCGGAAGGGGAGGTAAGGATGGAAATTCCCATTCCCGACAAATCCCATTCCCGGCAAACCTCATTCCCAAAGGTCGGGAATGTCACCCTCTCCCACTTCCCGCAGCTCCGTCAAGATCGAGGAGAGCCTCAGCTCCCGGATCCGCTCCTACCTGCTCTCCTACATCTACATTCCCGAGGAAGGTGGGCACCTGGAAAATCCCATGGGATCAGGGATTGGGATTTATGGATCAGCCAGGCCATTCCCAAAATCCTGGGTCGCTCCAAGCCCTGTCCAGCCTGGCCTGGGTTGGAGCCCAAATCCAGCCGTGCTTGGGGCAGGAATCCACAAATCCATGGAAAAGGGGTCCTGGGAGTGATGGGAATGGTGGGAATCCCATGGAGGCCCCATGAATCCATGGAATTATGGGAAACACATGGAGGTCCCGTAAATCCATGGAAAAGGGTTCTGGGAATGATGAGATCCTCCTGGAGACCCCATAAATCCATGGAAAAGGGGTCCTGAGAGTTATGTGAACACCATGGAGGTCCCATAAATCCATGGAGAAGGGGTCCTGGCAGTGGTGGGATCCTCATGGAGACCCCAAAAATCCATGGGAAAGAGTCCTGGGAATGATGGGAACCCCATGGAGGCACGTTTCCATGGAAAAGGGGTCCTGGGAATGATGGGATCCTCATGGAGAACCTATAAGCCCTTGGAAAAGGGGTCCTGGTAGTGATGGGAACCCCATGGTGGCCCCATAAATCCATGGAAAAGGGGTCCTGGGAATGATGGGATCCTCATGGAAGCCCCATAAAGCCATGCAAGGGAATTGTCCTGCACCGAGGAGGGGAAATCCTGGGAATGCGGAGCCACCCTGGCTCTTTCCATCCATGGAGGGGGCAGGGAATATCCCAAATTTCCATGGAAAAGCAGGATGGAGCCCCATCCATTCCCGACTGTTCATCCCAGCAGGAATTCCCTGTGGAAATCCCATTCCAAAGGGTGTTCCCTTTGCTGGGTGCACCCTGATCCTGCTCACACCCCAAATTCCCAATTTTCCCTCCAGGATTCCGGATCCCGCTGAAGCTGGTGGTGTCTGTCACCGTGGCCGTCGTCGCCGTCTACCAGGTGACACCAGGGACATTCCCAGAGGATCCCGGGGGTCATTTGGGAATGGTGTTAAAATTCCTTCCAGAATTCCATGCTCCCGTAAATCCCTAAATCCCATGGGATCCAAGCTGTAAATCCCTGAATCCCACAGGATCCATGCTGTAAATCCCTAAATCTCATGGGATCTGAGCCTTAAATCCCATGGGATCCGGGCCATAAATCCCTAAATCCCATGGGATCTGAGCCATAAATCCCAAAATCCTCTGGGATCCGAGCCATAAATGCTGCAGGATCCACACCATAAACCCTGAAATCCTGTGGGATCCCACAATAAATCACGAAATCCTGTGAGCTGTGAATCCTGCAGGATCCAAGCTGTAAATCCCAAAATCCTGTGGGATCCATGCCGTAAATCCCTAAATCCTGCGTGATCCAAACTGTGAAAGCTGTAAATCCTGAAATCCCACGGGATCTGAGCTGTAAATCCCAAAATCCTGCGGGATCTGAGCTATAAATCCCACGGGATTCAAGCCATAAATCCTGAAATCCTGCAAGATCCAACCATAAATCATGAAATCCCGTGGGATTTGAGCTGTGAATCCTGTAGGATCCAAGCTGTAAATCCCAAAATCCGTCGGGATCCAAGCCACAAATCCCGAAACCCTGCGAGATCCAGCCATAAATCATGAAATCCCGTGGGATTTGAGCTGTGAATCCTGGAGGATCCAAGCTGTAAATCCTGAAATCCCACGGGATCTGAGCCATAAATCCCAAAATCCTGTGGGATCTGAGCTATAAATCCTGCAGGATCCAAGCTGTAAATCCCCAAATCCTGCGGGATCCAAGCCGTACATCCCTAAATCCTGCAGGATCCAGGCCATAAATCCCTAAATCCCATGGGATCCAAGCCACAAATCCCGAAACCCTGCGAGATCCAGCCATAAATCATGAAATCCCGTGGGATTTGAGCTGTGAATCCTGTAGGATCCAAGCTGTAAATCCCAAAATCCGTCGGGATCCAAGCCACAAATCCCGAAACCCTGCGAGATCCAGCCATAAATCATGAAATCCCGTGGGATTTGAGCTGTGAATCCTGCAGGATCTCAGCCGCAAATCCATAAATCCCGCAATCCGTCGGGATGCGTGCCGGAGCTGAGGTGGCCCCGTGTCCCCGCAGGTGGCCGTGCTGCTGCTGGTGGCCGTGGTGCCCCCGCTGCGGATTGTCCGGGCGGGAATGACCAAGGACGTGGTGGTGCTGCTGGTGCAGTTCGGGCTGGTGCCCTCGCAGGGCGCGGCCGCGCCCGGGGACCTGGAGCAGGAGCTGCGCACGGCGCGCCACTTCCTGTGGGCGCTGGAAGGTGCAGCCCGGCCCCAGCCCCAGCCCCATCCCGATCCTGATCCCAGCCCCATCCTGATCCAGATCCTGATCTCGATCCCGATCCCAATCCCAGTCCCGATCCTGATCCCAGTCCTGATCCCGATTCCAATCCCAGTCCTGATTCCAATCCTGATCCTAATCCCGATCCCAGTTCTGATCCCGATCTCAATCCTGATCCCAATACTGATCCCAGTCCTGATCCCAATCCTGATCCCAATCCCAGTCCTGATCTCAATCCCAATCCTGATTCTAATCCCAGTCCCCATCCCAATCCCAGTCCCGATCCTGATCCTAATCCCGATCCCAATCCTGATCCCGATACTGATCCTGATCCCGATACTGATCCCAGTCCCGATTCCAATCCCAGTCCCAATCCCAATCCTGATCCCAATCCCAGTCCTGATCCTGATACCGATCCTGATCCCAATCCCAGTCCCGATCTCGATTCCAATCCCAGTCCCGAAACCAATCCCGATCCCAATCCCAATCCCAATACTGATCCCAATCCCGATTCCAATCCCAGTCCTGATCCCAATCCTGATCCCAATCCCAGTCCTGATCCCGATCCTTATCCCAATCCCAGTCTTGATCCCGATCCCAATCCTGATCCCAGTACTGATCCCAGTCCCGATCCCAATCCTGATCCCAATCCCAGTCCTGATCCCAATCCCAATCCCGATTCCAATCCCAGTCCCGAACCCAATCCTGATCCCAATACTGATCCTGATCCCAATCCCAGTCCTGATCCCAATCCCAATTCCAATCCCAGTCTCGATCCCAATCCTGATCCCAATCCCACTCCCGATTCCGATCCCGATCCCGATCCTCATCCCGATTCCGATCCCGATCCCAATCCTGATCCCGACCCCGACTGGAGCAATGCTCCAGAGGGGATTCCAGAGGGATTTCCCAATGATTCCTGCCTTGGAGGATTGGATGGGGCAAATTCCAGGGGGATTTTGGGAGGATGGGACAAATTCCAGGGGGATTTTGGGAGGATTCCTCGCCTGGAGGATGGGATGGAGCAGATTCCAAGGGGATTTTAGGACAATGGGATGGGGCAAATTCCAGGGGGATTTTGGTAGGATTCCTCCCCAGAGGATGGGATGAGGGGGATTTTGGGATAATGGGATGGGGTGGATTCCAGGGGGATTTTGGGAGGATTCCTTACCTGGAGGATGGGATGGAGCAGGTTCCAAGGGGATTTCCAGAAGATTCCCTGCCTGGAGGATGGGATTGGGAGGATTCCAGAGGGATTTTGGGAGGATTCCTGGTCCAGAGAACAGGATGGGGCAGATTCCAGAGGGATTTCCAGAAGATTCCCTGCCTGGAGGATGTCTCGATCCCAATCCTGATCCCAATCCCACTCCCGATTCCGATCCCGATCCCGATCCTCATCCCGATTCCGATCCCGATCCCAATCCTGATCCCAATCCCAGTCCTGATCCCGATCCCAATCCCGATACCGATACCGATCCTCATCCCGATTCCGATCCTGATCCCAATCCTGATCCCGACCCCGACTGGAGCAATGCTCCAGAGGGGATTCCAGAGGGATTTCCCAATGATTCCTGCCTTGGAGGATTGGATGGGGCAAATTCCAGGGGGATTTTGGGAGGATGGGACAAATTCCAGGGGGATTTTGGGAGGATTCCTCGCCTGGAGGATGGGATGGAGCAGATTCCAAGGGGATTTTAGGACAATGGGATGGGGCAAATTCCAGGGGGATTTTGGTAGGATTCCTCCCCAGAGGATGGGATGAGGGGGATTTTGGGATCCAGGGGGATTTTGGTAGGATTCCATCCCAGAGGATGGGATGAGGGGATTTTGGGAGAATGGGATGGGGTGGATTCCAGGGGGATTTTGGTAGGATTCCTCACCTGGAGGATGGGATGGAGCAGATTCCAGAGGGATTTTGGGAGGATTCCTCACCTGGAGGATGGGATTGGGAGGATTCCAAGGGGATTTTGGGAGGATTCCTGGCCCAGAGGACAGGATGGGGCAGATTCCAGAGGGATTTCCAGAAGATTCCCTGCCTGGAGGATGGGACAGGGAGGATTCCAGAGGGACTGCGGAGGATTCCCCACCTGGAGGATGGGATGGGGCAAATTCCAGGGAGATTTTGGGAGGATGGGAGGGGGCAGAATCCAGGAGGATTTTGGGAGGGTGGGATAGGGACGATTCCAGGTGGATTTTGGGAGTGGCTGGCAGGGATGGAGCAGATTCCAGGGGGATTTCCATAGGGTTCCTAGAGGGTGGGATGGGGAGGATTCCAGGTGGATTTGGGGAAGATTCCTGGCGCGGGGGATGGGATGGAGCAGAATCCAGGGGGATTTTGGGAGTGGGCGGCAGGGATTGGGTGGATTCCAGCGGGATTTCGGGAGCAGCTGGCAGGGATGGGGCTGTGCCAGGCTGGCGCGTGCCAAGGCGGGAAGAGACTCCGGGAAAAGCCGTTGGGAAGAGCCGGAGGGAAGAGCTGGAGGGAAGAGCCGGCAGATGCCGCAGGCTTGGAAACGTGCTGGAAGCGAACAGATGGGCCTGGATCCCTGGAGAGTGGAAATCCTTGGATGGGGGATGCGGGAAGAGCAGGGAAGAAGGAATAGCAGGGATGAGGGAGTTCCAGGAATCAGGGAATTTCAGGGATCAGGGAATTCCAGGGATCAAGGAATAGCAGGGGTCAGGGAATTTCAGGGATGAGGGAATAAGGATGAAGGGATAATAGGGATGAGGGTATTCCAGGGATCAGGGAATAGCAGGGCTGAGGGAATTTCAAGGATGAGGGAATTCCAGGGATAAAGGAATTTCAGGGATGAGGGATTTTCAATAAAGGAATTTCAGGGATCAGGGAATAGCAGGGATGTTCCCCTCCTTCCTTGGGATCCCACCAGCTCCAGGGAGGATTTCTGGGGCTTTTCCTGGATCCCCAAACCTCTTTCATCCCATTTTTTCCCTCCTCCCTCTTTCCCAAGACCCCCAGCCCAGCCCTGCCCATCCCAGGTCTCTCCAGGGATTTTCCTGGGTTTCCCTTCCCCTTTTCCCTCGCTCTCTCCCCTCCATCCCCCCTTGGGAGCTGAAGGAGTGAGTGACAAAAGAGGAAACTGAGGCACGCTGACAATCCCAAGGTTTCCATCCCCGAGGTGCAATTCCCGGCAGAACCCCGCTCCAGCGTTATTCCCGACCCCAAATCCAGGAATTTTCCCCGTTTTTCCGCAGTGTGCTACATCTGCTCGCTGGTGCTGTGCTGCCTGCTCACCTGCGCCATGCTGCTCCGGAGCCTGGGCATGCACAGGTGGGGCCGGCCCCGCTCCCGGCATTCCCAGTCCTGAGATTCCCATTCCCGAGGTTCCCATTCCCAATATCCCCAGCCCCATTCCTGATATTCCTGGCCCCATTCACAGTTTTCCCATTCCTGATGTCCCTGTCCCCATTCCCAATGTTCATATTCCTGATGTCCCCAGCCCTATTCCCAATGTCCCCATTCCCAGTGTTCCCATCTCCATTCCCAGTATCCCCGGCCCCATTCCCAATGTCTCTGGCCCCATTCCCAATATTTCCATCCCCATTCCCGATGTCCCTTCCCCCATTCCTGATATCCCCATCTCCATTCCCAATGTCCCCCCCCACCATTCCCGATATCCCTGTCCCCATTCCCAATATCCCCGACCCCATTCCCAATGTCTCCCCACCCATTCCCGATGTCCCCGCCCCCATTCCCAATGTCTCCGCCCCCATTCCCGATGTCCCCACCCCATTCCCGATGTCCCCACCCCATTCCCGATGTCCCCACCCCATTCCCGATGTCCCCACCCCATTCCCGCTGTCCCGTCCTGGGCCGGGATCAATCCGCGCCGTTTCCCACCCAGGTCCAACCTGCGGGCGCTGTACCAGGGCGCCGTGCTGGACGTGTTTTCCAAGGCCCACATCCTGCGGCCTTCCCGGGAATCCCTGGTCTGCTGGATGGCCTTCTCCAGCTTCCAGGCGGCCTTCGCCTGCCTGGGTAACGGGATTTTGGGATCACGACGTGGGGATCCCAATTTTCCTAAGGATTCAGCAGCGATTCCCCATTTTCACCCCATTTTCAGGGGGGTTTTTAGCCCTCTTTCCTCAAATGGAATCTGGCGGATTTTGGGAACACCGATGGTTGGGAATCGGGAAAAACTGGAAAAATAATTGGAATAATTGGGTTGGGAATTCAAAGAGGAAAAAGGGGTGAGATGATGGCTGGGTGATGGAATTTTGGGATCACAGGATGGGGGATCCTGATTTTCTTTAGGATTAAGTGCCAATTCCCTATTTTCGCCCTTTTTCCAAGAGGGTTTTTAGCCCCCTTTTCTCAAATGGGATCTTGTGGGTTTTGGGGAACACTGAATGGTTGGGAATCGGGAAAAACTGGAAAAATAATTAGAAAAATGGGAAAAATTGTAAAAATTGGATTGGGAATTCAAAGAGGAGGAAGGGGTGGAATGATGCCTGGATAAAGGAATTTTGGAATCACAGGGTGGGGATCCAAGTTTCCTTAAGGATTAAGCAGCAATTCCCTGGTTTTGCCCCAATTCCAGGAGGGTTTTTAGCCCCCTTTCCTCAAATGGAATCTGGCAGATTTTGGGAACACCGATGGTTGGGAATCGGGAAAAACTGGAAAAATAATGGGAATAATTGGGTTGGGAATTCAAAGAGGAAGAAAGGGTGAGATGATGCCTGGGTGATGGAATTTTGGGATCACGGGATGGGGGATCCTGATTTTCTTAAGGATTAAGTGCCAATTCCCTATTTTCGCCCTTTTTCCAAGAGGGTTTTTAGCCCCCTTTTCTCAAATGGGATCTTGTGGGTTTTGGGGAACACTGAATGGTTGGGAATCAGGAAAAACTGGAAAAATAATTGGAAAAATGGGAAAAATTGGAAAAAAATTGGGTTGGGAATTCAAAGAGGAGGAATGATGCCTGAGTAACGGAATTTTGGGATCATGGGGTGGGGATCCAAATTTTCTTATGGATTAAGCAGCAATTCCCTGGTTTTGCCCCAGTTCCAGGAGGGTTTTTAGCCCCCTTTTCTCAAATGGGATCTTGTGGGTTTTGGGGAACACTGAATGGTTGGGAATCAGGAAAAACTGGAAAAATAATTGGAAAAATGGGAAAAATTGGAAAAATTGGGTTGGGAATTCAAAGAGGAGGAAGGGGTGGAATGATGCCTGGATAAAGGAATTTTGGGTGGGGATCCAAGTTTTCTTAAGGATTAAGCAGCAATTCCCTGGTTTTGCCCCAATTCCAGGAGGGTTTTTAGCCCCCTTTCTTCAAATGGAATCTGGCGGATTTGGGGAGCACCGGATGGTTGTGAATCGGGAAAAAATGGAAAAATAATTGGAAAAATTGGGTTGGGAATTCAAAGAGGAAGAAGTGGGTTTGGCTCAATCCCAAATATTTGGGTGGGAAAAGCTCTGGAAGCCTCTGGTCCTCAGCACATTCTGGGGGTTCCTCATCCCCATCTCAGCCTGGATCATCCTGGGAATGGGGTGGGGAACCCCAAAAAGAGGGAAAATCTTCATTCCACCCCCAGGAATTGTGGGGACAATCCCTTGGGAATGCAGACCTGGTTTTGGGGACTAGTTTGGGGTTTTTATGGGATGTCGGGAAAGCCCCACGCAAGGATTTGGGGAATGAGAGCCGTTTTTCCATCCCGGATTCCCGCTCCGTGTTCCCATTCCAGGTCTCCTGATCCAGCAGGTGATTTTCTTCCTCTGCTTCGTGGCCTTCACCTTCCTGGTGGTGATCCCACTCCAGCTCGGCACCAGCTCCCCGCTCTTCGGGATCATCCAGAACATGTGGTGAGCTGGGAAGGGCTGGAAACCCCAAGGAATGGCCCTGGATGGGTTTGGGATGTTCCATCTGGGGTTTTTCCAACACCGCTGGAAGCTTCTGCCCGTGGTGGTATTTTGGGACATTCATGGTGTTTTGGGACATTCCTGGTGCCTTGGGACATTCACAGTCTTTTGGGACATTCCCAATGTCCATCCCAGTCTTTGGGATCATCTGGAACATGTGATGAGCCCTTGGGAAGGGCTGGAAACCCCAAGGAATGGCCCTGGATGGGTTTGGGATGTTCCATCTGGGGTTTTTCCAACACTGCTGGAGGTTTTCTGCTGCCTGGGTGGTGCCTTGGGACATTCACGGTCTTTTGGGACATTTCCAATGTCCATCCCAGTCTTTGGGATGATCTGGAACATGTGATGAGCCCTTGGGAAGGGCTGGAAACCCCAAGGAATGGCCCTGGATGGGTTTGGGATGTTCCATTTGGCATTTTTCCAACACTGCTGGAGGTTTCTGCTGCCTGGGTGGTGTCTTGGGACAATCACGGTCTTTTGGGACATTCCTGTTGATTTGGGACATTCTCAGTGTTTTGGGGCATTCCCAGTGTCCATCCTGCTCTTTGGGATCATCTGGAATATGTGGTGAGCAGGGAAGGGCTGGAAACCCCAAGGAATGGCCCTGGATGGGTTTGGGATGCTCCATTTGGGATTTTTCCAACACCACTGGAGGTTCCTACCCAAGGCAGTGTTTTGGGACATTCCCGGAGTTTTGGGACATTCCCCTTGTCCTTCCAGGCCCTTCTGGCTGACCCTGGTGGTGGCCGTGCTCCTGCAGCATCTCCTGGCCCATTTCCAGTTCCTGGAGCAGCATTCCCTGCAGAAGGAGATCACCAACAGGTACAGGGACACCGCCATCGTCCCCCATTGTGCCCAGGTGTCCCCCATTGTCCCCAGAGGGGTTTGGCAGGAATTCCAGGCTCCCAGGAGGTTTCTCCAGATGTTCTGGCCTGGGTTTTGGTGGGGTGGCACCAAGTGAGGCTGGCCCTGCTCCACTGACCCCGTTTCCAAGGCTGGGCAAGCCCAGATCCCTCGGGATTGGCCAGGTGGGGTCGGTCACCGCTGGCAGATGTCCCTCACTCAGGGATGGTGTCACCACCTGTGACCAAGGTGACAGAGGGACCCAGGTGTCCTCCTGGTGTGGCAGTGATGCTCTCCTGGAGCCGGTGTCCATCCCAAACCGCCAGCAGCTGTCCCTCACTCAGGGATGGTGCCACCACCAGACCGGGGTGACAGAGGGAGCTGAGCATCCTCCTGGCGTGACAGCGACATTCTCCTGGAGCTGGTTTCCATCCCAGGCCACCAGCACATGTCCCTCACTCAGAGGTGGTGACACCACCTGAGACCACGGTGACAGAAGGACCCAAGTGTCCTGTGCCACCCCCTGGCAGGGCACAGAGGCTCTCCCGGTGTCCATCCCAAACCACGGCAGCTGTCCCTCACTCAGGGATGGTGCCACCACCAGAGAACCGGGGTGACAGAGGGACCCAGGTGTCCTCCTGGCAGGCCAGCGAGGCTCTCCTGGAGCTGGTGGCCTCCATCCCAAAATCCCAACCCCACATTTTGGATGGTTCCTCACTCTCCGAGGAGACAAGGAGCTCCTGATGGTTCTCCAGGAGCCTGGGGTGGCGTTGGCTCGTCCCAGTGGGATGGAGCCACCTGGCCGGATGCAGGCAGGGCCGGGCGGTGTGGGGTGGCCGGAGTTTTCCCAGGAAGGGCCATCCCGTGGCTCTGTGTGCCCTGCAGGCGCGCGCTGTACATCGTCACCTTCCTGCTCTTCCCCATCAACGTCCTGGTGGGCGTCATGGCCGCAGTGTGGCGCGTGGTCATCTCCGGCCTCTACAACGCCGTCCACTTCTGCCGGATGGACATCAGCCTGCTGCACCGCGGCGTGGAGACCTTCGACCCAGGTGGGACAGCAAAAGGTCACCGTGCCACCAGCGGGGTCCTTGTCCCACCATTGGGGGTTGGGATGGGGGCCCGGAGCTGCTGGGATTGAGGGTGGCCCCAAACGTTGGGAGTGGGACACCTGGAGCAGGTGGCTTCTCCTGATTCCTGCTTTTTATCCCAAAAAAAAGAGTGGTGACCTTGGAGCTTCACCAGTGGTCATCTCATGGTATGGGATAAAGAAGAAAGGACCTCAGGCCTTCCCCTGTTTTTCCTGTGGGATTGAGGGTGGCTTGGAAATGGGACGATGGCAGCAGGTGGCTTCTCCCAGTTCTGGCTTGGTCCTGCTCTTTGATCCCAAAAAACAGGGGATGACCTTTGGGGTTCCACCAGCAGTTACCTCATGTCTCGGGATAAAGGAGAGGGGACCTCAGGGGAGCTTGGGGGACCTCGGGCCTTCCTCTGTTTTCCTGCTGGGATTGAGGATGGCTTCAGACCGATGGGAATGGAACACCTGGAGCAGGTGGTGCCAGCTGGGTCCTATATATTTATCCCAAAAAAAGTGGGATGAGCTTTGGGGCTTCACTTCATCTCCTAGGATATAGGGGAGGGGACCTCAGGCTGGTCCCTGCTTTTCCTGCCGGGACTGTGGGAGCGTGGAGACCAGAGCTGGATCTGTCCCTGGGCTCCGGGGTGGGAACAGGGAATGCGGTCCCCAACGAGGGCACGGTGTCCCCGCAGGGTACCGCACCTACTGCCACTACCTGAAGGTGGAGGTCAGCCAGTGCCACCCGCTGCTGAAGGCCTTCTGCTTCCTGCTGCTCCAGCCCGGCCGGCCGGAGCCGCCGGCACCGCCCCGGGACACCCAGCTGGAGGAAGGTGAGACCTGGGGACACAGGGGACTGGGGGGAAGGGACACGGTGGTGACCTCTGGGTGGCACCTGTGGCTGGTGTGGGGACACATCCGTCATCCATCCATGAATCCCTCCATCCATGGATCCATCCATCCATCCATCATCCATCCATGGATCCATCCATCCATCCATCATCCATCCATGGATCCATCCATCCATCCATCATCCATCCATGGATCCATCCATCCATCCATCATCCATCCATGGATCCATCCATCCATCCATCATCCATCCATGGATCCATCCATCCATCCATCATCCATCCATGAATACCTCCATCCATGGATCCATCCTTCCATCAATCCATCATCCATCCATCATCCATCCATCCATCCATCATCCATCCATGGATCCATCCATCCATGGATCCATCCATCCATGGATCCATCCATCCATGGATCCATCCATCCATGGATCCATCCATCCATGGATCCATCCATCCATGGATCCATCCATCCATGGATCCATCCATCCATGGATCCATCCATCCATGGATCCATCCATCCATGGATCCATCCATCCATGGATCCATCCATCCATGGATCCATCCATCCATGGATCCATCCATCCATGGATCCATCCATCCATGGATCCATCCATCCATGGATCCATCCATCCATGGATCCATCCATCCATGGATCCATCCATCCATGGATCCATCCATCCATGGATCCATCCATCCATGGATCCATCCATCCATGGATCCATCCATCCATGGATCCATCCATCCATGGATCCATCCATCCATGGATCCATCCATCCATGGATCCATCCATCCATGGATCCATCCATCCATGGATCCATCCATCCATGGATCCATCCATCCATGGATCCATCCATCCATGGATCCATCCATCCATGGATCCATCCATCCATGGATCCATCCATCCATGGATCCATCCATCCATGGATCCATCCATCCATGGATCCATCCATCCATGGATCCATCCATCCATGGATCCATCCATCCATGGATCCATCCATCCATGGATCCATCCATCCATGGATCCATCCATCCATGGATCCATCCATCCATGGATCCATCCATCCATGGATCCATCCATCCATGGATCCATCCATCCATCCATCATCCATCCAATGGCTGATCCCACCCCAGGGTAGGGATGGGGCTCTCTGGGGTGTGGTGGGATCTTGGTGCCTCCTGGGAAATGGGGCTGGAATCTGGGAATCCTGGAACGCTTTGGGTTGAAAAGCCTTTAAAGCCCGTCCAGGGACACCTCCCACTATCCCAGCCTTCTCCAAACCCTGCCCAACCTTTCCTTGGGCACTTTGGCCATCCAGGGGCAGCCACATCTCCTCTGGGAATTCCATCCCAGGCAGGAATTCCCTCCCAACCTCCCCTTTCCCAGCAGGAATCCATCCCTCTGCACCTCATCCCAACCCTCTCCCGCTCTCCTGGTGCTTTTCCAGGCCCTGAATCCTCTCCCTGCTGCTCCCGTCTCCTTCCAGGCCTCCAGCTGATGCATCCCAAGCAGCCGGCTCCGGGGAGAGCGCGGATCCGGCGGATCCGGGCGCGCTGGTGGGTGGCCTACACGCTCCTGCACAACCCCTCGCTGACCGCTTCCCGAAAAACCGCGCTGGCCGATCCCGCCGCCAACGGCGCCCAGCTCGGCGTTCCCAGGCCCTGAATTCCCGGGAATCCCATCCCGTCTTCCATCTTCCATCCCCAAATTCTGGATGTTTCCCTCGCCCTTTCCCAGCCTTTGGACTCACTCTGAGGGTTTATCCCTAAATCCACATTGAGCCACTCCCAAAATCCGGAGGTGACACCTCCAGCCTGGATGGAGCCGAGCCAAGGAAAATGTTCCCAGATCCCAAAAATATTTTGGGATTCGCTCCTGCAACCAGCCCGGTTCTCAGCAGCTTTTCCAGCACGGGACAATTCCCAGGGAATGGGGAGAGGAGCTGGGAGGGATCCTCAGCCGGCCAAAGGAATTCTCAACCACCAGGAATTACCCTGGGAGCTCCACGTGGGAGAAAATTCCCATTCCCGGCTTCTCCCTTCCCGATCCCAGCTGCATTTGGGCTCCGCATCCGCTCCTGGGACATTTTTTCCCTGATTTTTGAAGGATCAAATCCCGCGCTGCTCCCCGTCCTCTTCCATTCCCAGTTTTGTGGTGATCCCGGGGTTTTCCAGGGCTGGGATCCGTGGAAAGCCTCCCTGGGAAGCGCGGGGGAAGAAGAATAAACAGATACCTCGTTCCTACTCCCATTCCCAGTTTTGTGGTGATCCCGGGGTTTTCCAGGGCTGGGATCCGTGGAAAGCCTCCCTGGGAAGGAGAATAAACAGATACCTCGTTCCTACTCCAGGGATGTGCAGTTTTCCTTGGATGTTCCCACTTCCAGCGGGATTTGGGACCATCCCGGCCCCGAATCCAGGGAATGGTTGGGATGACCTCGTCCAGCAGAGATTTTGGGGTTCTGCTCCAGCTGGGAACGTCAGGATCCGATCCGTGATCCCACTTTAGGGTGGTTTTATGGGAAAACCACTCCCACAGCTTTGGGAAGGGTGGGAATGGGAATGGGGAATTCTGGGGATAAAACACCAGCGGGATGGGAATGAGGTGGTGCTGGATCACCTCTTCCTGCTCTTAAATCCCGGAATTCCTGCCTTTTTGGGCTGGAATGAGCAGGATCCTGGTGGATCCCAAACACCCCAAGATTCCCTTGGGAATTCTCAGCCCACGGAGCTGCCAGATCATCCTGGATTTCCCTTGGAGTTGGCCAGAGCTGCTCTCTGTAGGATCCCAGGGACCCCATTCCCTCCTTCTGGAATGTTCCCAGCACCCTCAGGACGGTTTGGGGACACCGGGGGTGATTCCCGTGCTTTGGGGTTTCCTTGGGAACACCCCTCCCTTTTCCCAGGATTCCCTCCCAGCCCATCCCGACCCCTGCAGCTAAAAAGGCAGCCTGAAACCCCTTAAAAAACCCCTTAAAAAAATCCCTTTAAAAATCCCAAAAATCTCTAAAATCTCATTTAAAAATCCCAAAAATCTCTAAAATCCCTTTAAAAATCCCTACAATCTGTGGCAGCTCCATGCTACGGGCGGGGCTGAATTTTGGGATCTGTTTTCACAGCCCCACCCAAGGTTCCCTGGAGATCCATGGAATTTCTGTGGTTTTCGGGATAGCAGCAACGTCCTGGGCGGGATTTGGGATTTTCTTCCCCTTCCTGGTGCTTCCCAACTCGCCTGGAAACCCCAAATCCGCATCCTCAACCCTGCTTCCCAGCTGGAATTTCAGGAATAATCCTGGATCCTGCAATTCCCAGGGATAAAATGGAGTTTAAAAGTCAGATCCTGTGAAATGCACCCAAAACTTCAGTTGGGGCCACGGTTTTTATCCCACAGTGGGAAAAATTTATGGGAATCCAGGAGCTCCCCACAGAGACCTCGGCTGCCCTTTCCCTAAAATACCTCTGGACCAGGAATTTCGGTGCTGGAGAGCTCCAGGCTCTGATTTTGGGGTCGCTTCCATTCCCAGGGAGCTGCAGGGGGGGAATTTGAGGTATCCCAGGATTTTGGGGGTTCCTTCCAGGTTTGGGGTGGGGGGGGAGCAGGGAAATTTGGGGGATCCTCCAGAATTAGGAAGAATTTGGGGATTCTTCAGCACTGGGGAGGATTTGGGATAGCTGGGAATGACAGAAGTGTCCCCTGTTCCAGGAGGGTTGGGGACATTCTGGGGGGGCCCAGGAGCTGCTGGCTCGAGGGGATTTTGGGATTTTGGGATTTTGGGATGCACAGACCAAGCGAAGGCCAGCTGGCTTAGATAAAAAAAGGAGTTTATTCAAGTTGTTTATAAAAAAGTAATTATTAATTCAAGGTATTTATTAATTCAAGGTATTTATTGAGATTGTTTCTTTATTACAGGTGTTTATGATGGGTATTTTGTAATTAAAGGCATTAATTACAGGCATTAATTAAAGGCATTTATTGCTGTCCCTACAGGGCGTTACAAGGCCACGGGGCTGCAGGGCGCGCCCAGATTCCCATTGGGAATTCTGGTGCTGTATCCCAGTCTGGGGGCCGGGGACATTCCCAAAATCCCCCGAGGGTTTCCCGGTACATGTTGAGAAGGAATATTTGTCCTGCTAGGAATTCTGGAGCACTCGGGGAATGTTTATGGCTTCAAGGCAGCTGAGTTTCTCTGCTGTTCCTAATATTTCCCCCATTCCCACTGGGAACAGTTTGGGAATCTTTGGCTCAAGCCTGGTGGGTCCAGCCCAGACTGGGATTTTTGGGATGGCGGTCAGGGGTTTTTTGGGACTCCTGCAGCATTCCAGGGACTTGGAGGTGCTCAGAATGCTCCTACAGGGATAAAACCCAGGAATTATTCCCCATCCAAGGCTGTGGCTCCATCCCAATCCTCTGTCCCATCCGTGTCCCCCATTCCCAGGGATTTTATCCTTGGATCCCTCCCTGGTGGCAGCCGTGGTGGCTCTGGGGCAGGATTGTCACCGCTGTCACCTCCTGTGGCCACCCTCGGATCCGGGCAGGGAAAAAAGCAGGAAGTGGCACTTTGGAACGGCCATGAATTGGTGGCAGATCCCGGCTGGATCCCGGCTGGATCATTCCCACATTCCCTGAGCTCCTCCAGGAGCGGGAACGGCAAGGGCTGGACCACCCGCCCCGGGCCTGTGGTGGCCCCGTCGGGCTCCGGAGCGCTCCCGGATGCCAGAAGCTCAGCAAAGGCACTACGAGAGGAAAAAACTACGGAAAAACGGGAATCCCGAGGCGCCGCTCGCCCTTCACCACAGCAGCAGCCCCAGAGCCAGCGGCAGAATTCCCAGGCGGAATTCCCGGGCTCCCGCGCCGCTGCGGGCCTGGCCGGACACGCGGTAGACGATGACCAACTTGTCGCCCATCCCGGACGGGTCCAGCTCGTCGCCCTTGGCGCAGCTGTGCCCGCCGGGGTGCCCGGCCTGGGGGTCGTCGCGGGGCAGCTCCTCGGCCGGGTTGGCCGAGCCGGCCAGCGCCACGTTGACGGACACGTCCCTCGTCCCCACGTCGTTGACCGCCAGGCAGGTGTAGGTGCCCTCGTCCTCCTTGCCGAAGTCGGGGATGGCCATGGTGCCGTTCTTGAAGGCCAGGAAGCGCTGCCGGCCCGCCTTGGCGCCGCCGTCCCGCGCCACCGTGGGCCCGTGGATGTCCACGCGGCGGCCGGCCGTGCGGATCTGCCAGCGGATCTCCGGCGGGGGGCTGCCGGCCACGCTGCAGTGCAGGGTCAGCGTCAGCCCGTCCCGGGGTCCGGCAGCGGCCGGGCCGGACAGGTAGGTGAGCTGGGCCGAGGGCGGCACGCAGAGCGCGCCGGGGATGTCGGTGACCGGCCGGCCCCGCAGCCGCGCGGGCGCGGCGCACAGCGTGGAGCCGGCCCTGGAGAGCACCACCGAGGTGCCGTGCGCCCACTCCTTGAGCCAGAAGAGCTTGCAGGAGCAGTTGAAGGGGTTGTGGAAGAGCTGCAGCTGGGCCAGCGCCGGCAGCCCCTCGAAGGTGCCGCGGGCCAGCGTGGCCAGCTCGTTGTCGTTGAGCCAGAGCGAGCGCAGCTCCCGCAGGCCGGCCAGCGCGCCGCGCGGCACCGCGGCCAGCCGGTTGTTGCTGAGCTTGAGGATCTGCAGCGCGCTCAGGTTGCGCAGGTCCTGCCAGGGGAAATCCGCCAGCCGGTTGTGGCTCAGGTCCAGGTTCTTGAGGTGCGGCAGGGCGGCGAAGGCGCCGGGCTCCACCGAGGAGATGTGGTTGTAGCCCAGCCACAGCGACTGCAGCTCGGGCACCTCGGCCAGCGAGGCGCGGCCCAGGTGGCCCAGGCGGTTGGCGGAGAGCGTGAGGATGGTGACGTTGGGGGACAGGCCCCGCGGGATGTCCCGCAGCTCGCGGTAGGCGCACTCGGCCAGCAGCCGCCCGTTCTTCTTGGTGGAGCAGGAGCAGGGCGCGGGACAGGCCAGGCCTGGGGACAGCAGTGTCACCAGCGCCAGGGCGCCGAGCAGCGGCCTCATCCTCGCGTCCTGCTGGGAGCAGAGATGGGAATGAGCCCGGCCAAACAGCCGCGATGGGAAACGATTCCAGCTGCCAAAAGCGGTTTGGGAGATCCCCTAAATCCCGGCCCGAGCAGGGGAGTTCTCCCTCTCCCCCTCGAGCTTGTCCTTCCCCCTCTGGAAAACCTTTTCCGGGTTTGGGATGGAATGTTTGGGATGAGGAGCGGGAGCCGGGGGGTTCCGGGTTCCTGAGGAGGAACAGAGCCGCCGCAGCTCTTTCCTAACCAGCCTTCCCATAAATCACGGAATTTTTGGGATTTCCAGCGGGCTCGCAGAGCGTGTCATGGAAAAAACCCAGCACCTCTCTCAGCCAGGGGCTGCGGGGTCCCCGCGGCCGCTGGAATTCTTGGGAAGGGAATTTTTCCCAACTTAACTCCTCATTCCCCTCTCCGTGACTTTTCCAGGGCACTCCAGAGGTTCGTTCCTGCTCGGAATTCCCAGCAGCTGGCAGCCAGACCCCTTTGTCTGAGCCTGGCAAGCGAATTCCCCTGCCCTCCATTCCCAGCCCTGCCATTCCCAGCGGGAATGCTCGGGAATAAACCCCATCGGGACCTGAGGGGTGGCAAAGGCACCCCGCTGGCTCTGGGGGAGCTCCAGGTGACATTTTGGGGTGCTCAGGGAGGGACAGACCCCATCTCCCGGGGACTGGGGAGGGGAATCTTGGAATTTTTTCCCCCCTGGAGCTCCGGGTGGCATCCCACCCCTTTTCCAGAGCCCCCCCGGGGCTCCCCCACCGCCTCCCGGCGCATTCCAGAGCCGTGAATAACCGCCCTGCCTCCTTCCTTCCCTCCTTTCCCGGAGTTTTTTCCCGATTTTTTCCCGTTTTTCCCCGCTCCAGCCCCGCTCCCCGGGCCCGCTGCCCCCGCCCCGTCACCGCCGGTGGAGCCCCGGTGTCCCCGCTCCGCTGGACTCGGCCCCGCCGCTCCCGGGCCCTCCTCGGCTTCTCCTGCTTCTCCTCCTCCTCCTCCTCCTCCTCCTCCTCCTCCTCCTCCTCCTCCCGGCCCGTCCCCTCCCCGTCCCCCGGGCCCGGATTGTTTTCCATGGCACCGACCCGCGCCCGCCCGCGGGGCCCGTCCTCGGCTCCTCCAAAATCCCCTAAAACCCCTTAGCACACACCCCTGAGCCCGAAATCCCCTGAAAAACCGTTATCCCAAATCCCTGACCCCCAAAATCCCCTAAAACCCCTTAGCACACGCCCCTGAGCCCGATATCCCCTGAGAAACCGTTATCCTAAATCCCTGCCCCCCAAAATCCCCTAAAACCCGTTATCCCACACCCGTGAGCCCCAAAATCCTCTAAAAAACCATTATCCCAAATCCCTGCCCCCCAAATCCCCTGAAAAACCGTCACCCCAAATCCCTGCCCCCAAAAATCCCCTAAAACCCGTTAGCACACACCCCTGAGCCCGAAATCCCCTAAAAAACTGTTATCCCAAATCCCTGCCCCCCAAATCCCCTGAAAAACCGTCACCCCAAATCCCCGCCCCCAAAAATCCCCTAAAACCCGTTAACACACACCCCTGAGCCCGAAATCCCCTAAAAAACTGTTATCCCAAATCCCTGCCCCCCAAAATCCCCTAAAACCTGTTAGCACACACCCCTGAGAGCAAAATACCCTGAAAAATTGTCACCCCAAATCCCTTCCCCCCAAAATCCCTTAAAAAACCGTCACCCCAAATCCCTGACCCCAAAATCCCCTAAAAAACCGTCACCCCACATCCCCACCCCCCAAAATCCCCTAAAACCTGTTAGCACACACCCCTGAGCCCGAAACCCCCTAAAAACTGTCACCCCAAATACCTGACCCCAAAATTCCCTAAAAAACCGTCACCCCAAATCCCTGCCCCCCAAAATCCCCTAAAACCTGTTAGCACACACCCCTGAGCCCAAAATCCCCTGAAAAACCATTATCCCAAATCCCTGCCCCCCAAAGTCTCTAAAACCCGTTATCCCACTCCTGTGAGCCCCAAAATCCTCTAAAAAACCATTATCCCAAATCCCAACCCCATCCCCCCACACTCCTGCCCCCAAAAATCCCCCAAAACCTCTCCCCCCACACCCCTACCCCACAAAATCCCATAAAACCCCATCCACCCACAGCTCTGCACCCCAAAATCCCCTAAAACCCCATCACCCCAATTCCCTGTCCCCCAAAATCCCCCCAAACCTCTCTCCCCACACCCCTGACCCGGAAATCCCCTAAATTCTTGTCCCCCCTCCAAACCCTTGATCCCCAAAATCCCCCAAAGCCCCGCTTGGGGACACGGGGTGGGGACAGCGTTTGGGGTCAGGGTTTGGGGTCAGGGTTTGGGGTCAGGGACTGGGGGCAGCGTTTGGGGTCAGGGACTGGGGGCAGTGTTTGGGGACAAGGACTGGGGACAGGATTTGAGGACAGCCTTTGGGGACAGGGGGTGGGCACAGGGTCCGGGGACAGGGTTTGGGGTCAAGCTTTGGCTTCGGGCTTTGGGAACGGGGTTCGGGGACAGTATTTGGGGACAGCGGGTGGAGACTGGCTTTGGGGGCAGGAGATGGGGACAGGGTTTGGGGTCAGGCTTTGGGGACAGGGAGTGGGGACAGGCTTTGGGGACATCATTTGGGGACAGGCTTTGGGGACACAGGGTGGCAGGGTGACCCCACAGAGGGGTTGTGGGACCGGGGCTGGATCGGGAGGGAGGAGGAAATTCCCGAATCCAGGAATGGCACCGGGGATGGCACCGGGGATGGCCCCAAGCGCCACCTCCTCATGTCCCTACGGAGAATTCCTGAGAAAAGGGTGGAAAATCGGGATTGTGGGGATTTCATCCTGCAGATCCCACACGGGAATGGGAACGGGAATGGTCCCTGTCCTCCCCAAACTGGTCAAACTGGGACATTCCCAATTGGGTCGTACTGGGCTAATCCCAACTGGTCAAACTGGGAATTCCCAACTGGTCAAACTGGGATGTTCTCAACTGATCAAATTGGGAAATTCCCAGTTGGGTCGTACTGGGCCAATCCCAAGAGGTCAAACTGGGACATTTCTGACTGGTCAAACTGGGAAATTCCCAAATGTCCCAAACTAGGACATTCCCAACTGGGCCATCCCAACTGGGCCATTCCAACTGGTCAAACTGGGAAATTCCCAGCTCTTCAAACTGGAACATTCATGACTGGTCAAACTGGAACATTCCCAACTGGCCAAACTCGGACATTCCCAATTGGGTCATACTGGGCCTGCCCATCCCAACTGGTCAAACTGGGACATTCCCAACTGGTCAAACTGGGATATTCCTGACGGGTCAAACTGGGACATTCCCAGTTGGGTCATACTGGGCCCGCCCATCCCGACTGGTCAAACTGGGACATTCCCAACTGCTTGGACTGGGAATTCCTGACTGGTCAAACTGGGACATTCCCAGTTGGGTCATACTGGGCCCACCCATCCCGACTGGTCAAACTGGGATGTTCCTGACTGGTCAAACTGGGATATTCCTGACTGGTCAAACTGGGATATTCCCGACTGGTCAAACTGGGACATTCCCAGACGGTCAAACTGGAACATTCCAACTGGTCAAACTGGGACATTCCCAGATGGTCAAACTGGGACATCCCAACTGGTCAAACTGGGACATTCCAGCTGGTCAAACTGGGACATTCCCAACTGGTCAAACTGGGACATTCCCAGACGGTCAAACTGGAACATTCCAGCTGGTCAAACTGGGACATTCCCACTGCAGGGCTGGAATTCCCTCCAGACCTCTCTGCTCATTCCAGCCATGGGGACAAAACCAGAGGATTTTTGGGAGTTCCGAGCACCCCATGGATGCTTTAACCATTCTCAGCAGGAATTTTTTCCAGGAAAAATGCAAATCCCCGCCCCCCTTTATTTGTGGCCTCCTGGAGAGCAGCAAATCCCCGCCTCAATCCCGGATTCCCGGGAATCCGCGGATCCCTAATTAAAGGCAGCTGCAATGATTGTTCTTTTTCCATTCCCGCCGTGACTCCCGAGCGCCGCGCTCAATTATGGGAACATCCACAATTATGGGAATATCAACAATTATGGGAATGTCAGCAATTATGGGAATATCCATAATTAATTATGGGAATATCAACAATCATGGGAACGGCAACAATTGTCAGAATATCCACAATTAATTATGGAAATAGCAACAATTATGGGAATGTAAACAATGATGGGAATATCCAGGCTCTGCCAGGCAGATCCGAACACCTGGAGCAGCCTCAGACTCCCGGGATTTGGGGGGATTTTGGGGGGATTTTGGAGGGATTTGGGCAATTTTTCCCCTGGAGAAAGGAATGTTGGATGGCCGGGGGGGATTTCATCGGTAGGATGGGATTGGGAGCAGAAATCCAGCGGGAATTTTGGGATCAGTGCTGGGAGTGCTTGGGAACCGAGGTGGCACTGGCAGGGAGAGGAGTTTGGGGAGAAAAAAGGAAAAAAGCGTGAAGTTTGGGGTGGTTTTTTTACAAAAACAGAGAGGTGGGGATTGTAGAAATTCCACCAAAAATTAAATACACTACAGGAAAAATGATAAATAAAAGATATCTGAAATGACAGAAATCATATCTAAAATGATAAAAACATCTCTAAAATGATAGAAAGCATATCTAAAATTACATAAAAATGATAGAAATTACAATTAAAATTATAGAGAATAATCTGGAAAACGACAGAAAATGATCCATGAAACGATGGAAAACACACATCCGTGGGATGTTTCCTTGCTCCAGCGGATTGCGATGCTCACCGGGGGAAAATGGAATTCCTTTTTTTTTCCCCTCCGGAGTGAATTTATAGGGAAGATTTAATAGATTTGGGCGATTCCGCTGGCACGCAAACGCGATTTCCGCGCCTGCTTTATGGCCGGAAAAAATGAACTGATGTTTTTACGATATTAAAGAATGCGGTAAAACACATAAAAGGAGGCGGCTGCGGCGGTGCCACCTCCCGCCTGTCCCCTCCCCGCCCTGGGGACACAATCCCGCTTTTCCCCCCAAGCACGGAGGCGGCTCCACTTTCAATCCCTTTTATTGACTCGTCACGGACAGAAGCGCGCAGAGAAAGCGCCCGCGGCTCTGCGCGGCACCGGGGCGAGCGGCCAGCGGGCTGGCGGCCACCGCGGCCACCGCGGCCACCTCGGCCGGCTCCGGGCGCGTCTGCGGCACACACACTTGGCTACAAGGCTACTCTACCCAAAACACACCGAGGGGAGGGGACGGGGACCGGGAATCGGGGAGCGGGGACCGGGACTGGGGAGCGGGGAGCCCTCGGCGCCTCGGGGGCGCGGAGCTGTCCCGGGGAGGCCGGTGCTGAACGGGGAGAGCGGGACCCACCGGGAACGGGAGCGGCGGGGAGAGGGGAGCGCCGGGACCCACCGGGAACGGGAGCGGCGGGGAGCGGGGAGCACCAAATCCATCGGGGGCTGGAAAGAACCGCCCGGGAGCGGCGGGGACCGGGAATGTCGGCACCCGCCGGGGCGCGGGGAGCATCGCCCGGGAGTGCCGGGGGGCGAGGAGCCCCGGGAGCATCGGGGAGCGGGGAAAACCGCCCGGGAGTGGCGGGCACCGGGATGGTCGGCACTCGCCGGGGAAAATGGGGATGCGCCGGAGCGCGGTGGGCACCGGGGAGCGGCGGGGACAGCTGCGGGCTCGACAGGAGAGAACCGGGGAGCAGAGGGGACTCACCGGGCGCCGAGGAGCGGCGGGGACTGAACCGATTCCTCAAAGAGAATTTGGGGCTATGGGGCTTGTTGCTTTTAGCCGTTTTCTCGGGTTTTTTTCGTTTTTTTCCTTGGGGGGGAAGGAAAACCCGGGGGTGGCGGGCGGCGGAGGGAGGCGGGGGAGAGGGAATCGTTGTTGCCGCCGAGCCGGCAGCGAGCACCGCCGGTGCCCGAAATGGAAACGAAATCGTGGGAGGCTCATCCCGGCAGCACCGGGCGAGAAGGGGAA